GCTGCAATATCCAGTACCTTACAGCCAGAAGTCCTTGTCACAGAATGCTGGGTCAGCTTAAAGGTTCTCTATTAAAGGTACACACAACCATATTTTATGGTTGTGTGTACCTTTGCTCTTGATTTTGGGGTCTGCAAGTCCATGGGTCCCCTAACACTATCTCCCAAAGTTATTAAATAAATTCCCTGCAAACAAAAATTCAGCTATTCTTACAAGACAGTTAAGCAGTCGCCACTGGTGGGTCAGTAAAGTGCATGGAGGCAGCAATGGAACTGTGCACCCTAGACAGGCCAGGAGTCCAATTCATTCAGGGGCTCCTTATCAAGTGAGTGCTAAAATAGCTTAGAATACAAGAAACCTGGCACAGTGCATACAGTGCACATACCTTGAGATATGGTGCGGTTGTTTAAAAAAAACCCAGGGATAAGCAAACATAACCAGCTTACCTAAATGCTCTACAAGAGCTTTAAGCAGAATATTCCCTTGTTGAGCATTTTTGTTTGCTGAAGACATTCACTCATGCCTATTCTTATTGTACGGCTCACAAATACAGTTGGTAGAGCCATGGTATGATGAAATAAATATAGCCATCACATGACTGAAGAAGGCATGGAGCGGTTAATATAAGCTCAGAACTGGTAAAACATGTAGGCTGACTTGATAGAAGTGTATACATAATTAATTAAAGTGGAAGTCAAGTCTATTTTTTAACAAAATTGCCTACAAGCAGGTTTTTTTATGACATAAGAGACTAGGTAAGGTGCATTACAGACCATTCATTTTAAATGGGCTGCCTAATGCAACACAGCTCAGTGCAAGGAAACGTGTGCATCCTGGTGTGCAGAGCTCTTAACCAATTGATGACCCCCTTGCTGCCCAGGCCATTTTTCAGTATTCAGCGCTGCGGTACTTTGACTGACATTTATTCCGTCATGCAACACTGTACTGAAATTAATTTTATACCATTTTTTGGGGACAGATAGAGCTTTCTTTTGGTGGGATTTAAAGTGGGATTCAAGTATATTTTTTTCCCTCCCCCCAATGTTAGTGTAAGCACTTACCTTAAATGATGCCTCTTAATCCGATCTTCTTCTTCTTTCCTGTCATTTTCAGCTGTCCCTCCAGTGTTGCGGCGGGTCTCCCATCCAGCGCTGACTCCTCTGTGCTTGCTGGCACTTCCTGTCCCACGGTGTCTGCATGCAGGTGCACGCGTCCATAGACTTACCTTGTGTCTCTCCTCGTCTCCCAGCCGAAAATCTGAACTGCGCATGCGCCCGCCACATGATGCTTTCTGGCCACCCGACATTTTTCAGATTTTCGGACGGGAGCACACTGCGAAGACACAGGTAAGTATTAACCTCTTTTAACGTTTTTTCTCTACGTTATAAAACATTTATTACCCAATTTTGTGGTAAAATATAACAGACGGGGTCACATCAGGTAAATAGACCCCAAACATGTCAGGCTTTAAAATTGCGTGCTCCCACAAAATCTTAAAAAACTACCATGCCTAAAATTGGCCATAGGCGACGCTTTAAATGCTTTTACCACTTATCAGTTTAGTTTTATCAGTGATTGATGGCTCTAGAATTATTGCTCTCACTGCGACGTTCACGGCGATATGTTACATGTGTGAGGTAATCGTTGTTTTTGCACGTAGGCGCACCCCCTTATTTATGTGTATAAGCGCGTGCACGTGGGGAATTTTTTTTTAAAACTTTTTTTTAAACTTGAATGCTATCACATAGGGGGCTAAAAATCCCCCAATGTAATAGCTAGAAAAAAATGACATATCCTCTTTATGGAGACATCAGGGGTCCTCAAGACCCCTAATGTCACCTTGGGACCCCCAAAGAAGCTGATGAAGCAGAGAGGGGTGCCGCAATGCGAGGTTATACAAGCGATCGGCCAGCTATAGAGCATAACAGCTGTTTACCTTCCCGGCGGCAGAAAAAAAAATCACGTATATGTACGTACACCCACCGGTAAGTATCCGCCGCCCGCCCGTTTTTTTACGATGGGCGGAAGTCAAGGGGTTAAAGTGGAACTACAGCTCCAGCTGGATAGCTGTTAGTAATGCAGTAAACATATTTGTTACATTTTAACAGGTTTAAGACCGTAAATAAATAAACTACCACTTTCCAGACACAGAACTTGTATTCCCTTACGGGAGGTCTTCCCCTTACTTCCTGTCAGTACAGGGATCAGGAATGATGGAAAATCTCTTCAACAGGGACAGTGGAGTGGGAAAGTGTTGGTGTCTGTTCCTTTTTCTCTCGCTGATAACCGCTCCTCTTTTTCTGGGGTCAAAGGGACAGGAAGTGAGGCAAAATGTTTCTAGTGGGTACAAAGTTAAATATAAAAACTGGATAGTAGTTTCAAGTCTTTCCACTCTATCCAAAACTAAAAGGAAAAAACATGTCTGGGATTTGTCTGAGATGCACAGTATGTGATTTTGTAATGCAATGAACTCAAATGTAGTCTCCACAACTTTTGGCAATAAAACTTTATATACCTATTATTAGGCCCACTGTAACACACAAATGCATGTGAAAAAAACTTCCAGCATGGGAACGGGAGTGTTGAGGAATATCTGAAAATGAACTACAGAGAATAAGAACTAAAGAAGAAATATGCAATACCAGACAATGTAACATATAAAAGATTAATAGTTTGAGATGGACAGGGCACGTAGGATGGAAAAGGAGAGAGGCGTCAAATAAATGTATAAAGGAAAACCAGAAGGCAAAGGAGGTGTCATTAGGCCAAAGAAAAGATATATAGAAGATGTTGAAGCAAATGTGAAACATCTGGAACTCCCAGGCTGGAGATGGAAGGTCATAGACACACGTACTGCAAGAGGCAAAGGTTCTTCAAGGGATGAAGCACAATAAAAGATTGTAAATGTTTTTCATTGTCTAACTCTGGTTCTCAACTAGGGGGCCATATGGACACATGGGCGCCTTAGGATATTTCAAGGGGTCCACAGGTGAAAAACATGTAACGAAGGAGCCACGGCATGTGCCAAGGGGGCCAACATAAAAGCAGAGTTTATTATACTTGAAAAATTGCCTCGCTGATTTGGGGTGAAAGATGACGTTATTTTGCAAGAACCCTTCATTGAACTACGGAGCAATAAATAAGCCCAAACAAATTTAATACAAGGAAAACATTATTTAGGTGAACAGTGCAATTTCCCAAAATTTGCCACAGCTTTCAAAACAAAGGAAAACTACTTTTTATGGCATTTCTGACATCAAACTTAGCAGAACCATACAAATGAGTTAATTGTTAGCACAAAAGGAGAACCACCTAGACATGGCAAAAAGAAGTGATCTTCACTCATTACTTACTGCCATGAGACCAGACTAAAAAACAACTTCACATTAAGGGGCACAAAGTGAAGCTTTGCAATTGTGTAATGTAAACTACCTTACTAAAATAATTATAACTTACAATTTACTGTATTTTTACAAGCTAAGTCTAAGTGGTAATCCTTTCCACCAGTAATGGAACCTGGACAGGGGAGGGGGCACAGTTGAAAAAGACGGCCAAAATGGTCAGAAGTGCTACGGCAAACACTAGTGTGAGAAACACAAGAATTGGTCACTTTGGGCAGCATTTATACTGGTAGCAAACAATACATACAGTATATATAAAGTAGTGGTACATTTAACTTTTTGTTTAATTATGCCCTTTTCTGCTTACATTGACCACTGCTGATGTGTCTTTGTCTATAGATTCACATGCTAAACGTTTTTTCTTTTTTCTAGCTCATAAAGTTCGAAGGAACAGGTTAAACCTGTACAATTCAATGAGCTGCTATTGAGCAAAGATAAGTGTTCCACCTCTGATCCAGTATGAGCTACATCTATTATGTGGGGAGAAGGTGGGCAATGGCACATAACCCAAATTGAAATATTTTCTGCTCTAGCCGGTGATCTCTTCCATTGTCCAATGTCCTGGCTTATGAGCAGCCCCTCGCAGTCCTACCGTACAGTGCAGGACAGCTGCTCCTGTTGTGTATGGGATGACATCAGAGAGTTGCAACCGACTGGGTAGCGAAGGTAAGAGGGTTTGGAGGACTAGTCGAATGAAGAGGAGGAAGGATGCAAGAGTGAGGAATAAAGTAATTATATCACCTTATTCATCACCCCCTAGACATAACGAGGAGTTAACCCTTGTAGTGCGGAAGTGGACCCACTGCAAGCAAAATCTATTTTTTTCCCTGGAGTTCAGCTTTAATGAGTCACAACTAGAGCTCTCCAAACAACAAGTGGGAGCTTTGCTAACTGCAGAGCTCTGGCTGTGACTGGGTCATGTTGGACTGCTGCCGAGAGAATAAAATAAAATGTTTGTTTCAGACAGGAAGGAAAACAGAGATTAAGTAATCGTGTCCAAAGTCTGACTTCCAGTTTTCCCAGAGTTTTCACGGCTGCTATCTAGGGATTGATAGAGAACTGTGACATAAGAGAGGAAGCAACAAAGAGCTTACAACAGCACAGGTACTGTTACATGACATAGTACAGACTTTCTCGACTAGGGTCCAGTGGGACACTAGGATTCTTTTAGAGGTTGCTAGAGGTTCCTTGATCAGTGAGCAGAGGTGAACCGTTCTGGTATAATCGCCAATTGGCAGAGACAGAGGCATCGGACCAGTGCAGCTTCTCCTCTTGTTTATCTTTTAAGTGACCACTGACTATAAATGGTCTGTAAAGGGTCATTCTTCCCACTGTCCCTCAATGTATGGGGGTAGGTGGGGCATTGCCCTGTCCACCATTGTAATAGGCATACTTTCCACTGACCACCAGTTTAACAGGGCATTTTCTCAATGACGACTGTAGTGTGGCCAATATACCATGAGCTGTAGATATAATCATTTTTAGCAGGGGTTCCCTGGGGCCTGAAGAGGATTTCACAAGCTTGAGAAAGGCTGGTATAACATAAGGGTTGGCATTGGTCACCTCAATAAACTGTTGTAAAAATGATAAATATCTTACCAATGTTAATTTCATCATCAGTCTCTGCATCTCCAATGCATTCAAACTGGAAGTCTTGCAGGGAATGTGAGAATTTCTGCACGGCCATTGATAAATCTAGAACAGAAAGACAAAAAATCATTATGATAAAACTACATCACTGATAAGTAGGGCTGTTACTGATTAAAATTTTCGTGTTCGATTAATCAAATTTTTTAAAAATCGATTAATCGGTTAATTTCGATTAATTATAATGCACATACAGATCCAACTACATCGACCTATACGCATACAGCACAGCAATGAAGTAATAAAATGAACTAGGATCACACTAATCCAGCACATTATTAATCTCACATGCCCCACTCAATATGGCTGCCGCTTGAGTGGGGCAACTCAGAATAATAACGTTCTGGATTAGTGTGATCCTAGTTAATGTTATTACTTCATTGCTGTGCTGTATGTGTATAGGCCAATGCATTGGCTGGCGCTCGTGCAGAAAGTTTCTTGGGCAAACTCACCGGCCCAAGTGGCTCCGTTGGCTAACGTAGGGAAGGGGGAAGGAGTCCGGTGACGTCACGGACATAGACGTCACCTGACTCCTTCCCCCTTCCCTTCGTTAGCTGGCAGAGCCACTTGGGGACATCGACATCACCGGACTCCTCCCCCTTCCCTTCGTTAGCCGACAAAGCCACTTGGGGAAGGGGGAGGAGTCCTGTGACGTCGATGTCCGTGACGTCACCGGATCTCCAACGGGACTCCTGGAAGCCGGCGGAGAGGTGAGTGTTTTCATTAGCGATCAAAAATGTTGTAATCGATCAAAAAGATTAACGATTAATCGAGAAATTAATCGTTAATTTGCACAGCCCTACTGATAAGCTAAAACAAATTTAAAAACATGTATGCCATGTTTGTGGGTAAGTTAAAGAACAATGTACTGACAGTGACAAAAGCTCAGAAAATGCTCTAGGGGGGCTGGTGTTCGTATATTTCATCTTGTTTACCTGCCTCCCGGGATGTCTGTTGTAATGCTACATCGGCTTAAATCAAAGCTGTATGTGACCCCAAGTCAGCTCTCTCTTTCATCTCTACAGAGCTTGTAGCCACATCTGCCCACTGGAGCACAAGCACCTGGGGCAAGAATGTATGTAAAAACTGCCTGAGGAGATCGGTTCAGTGTAGAGAGGGAGCATGCTGCATCTGAGGTCTGATTTTGGGTATAATAGAAAGGAGGAAGGTAAGGGAACCTGTAGACGGTTAAATACACAATAGCACCATTGTACTTTAAATACAAAAGACAAATTAATTAATTTAAAGACAAATTAAATGCACTGAGCCACTAACAGCAGCCTCTAGTGGCTAGACTACAAATCACTTTATTTAATACATCACCAAAATATGGAAGAACACAGTTTACAAATGTGATAAATCACATCAAAAATGCTATAATAAAAACTTAATTAAAAATACATTATGTCCAGAAAATACTGTGGGGGGAATTTATCAAAGCTGGAGCAGACAAAACCATGAGCAGCAGTGCTTGGCAACCAATTAGCTTCTCTCAGATTTGAAAATGAAAGTGAGAAGCTGATTGGTTGCCATGCACAGCTGCTCCTGATTTTGTCTGCTCCAGTTTTGATAAATTCCCTTCATATTTTTTTTCATTAACTACCGGTAGATACAGCTCTAACAATCTGTGAGGGTGGCCAGTGTAGAGTGCACAGTGTAAGGCTCTATTCACATATGGTGTTTGCGTTTTCTGCGCGGCGCGAAAGCGCTGATTTTTTTACATACGCGCGGATTCTATTACCATAGCCACAAACGTGCACAATCCGCCCTATAATCGTGCTCAACTATTTTGCAGGATGTGCGCTTTTGTACCGCGTGGACGCCACAATAGTCTGAACAATGCACATTGGAATGCATTGTTTTTTATGTTTAGTTTGTTTTCCGCGCGTATTAAACCGCTTATGTGTGAATGAAGCCTAACAATGGACAATTGGCAACATAAAATTAGGTTTCAGACTCTCCTGCATAGACTGCTTTCCTTGGACTGCTATAAGCAGCACTTTGAATGGCCTTAAAGTAGATCCAAATCCAATCACTAAAATATCATATATGCTTTATCATGTTCCAAAATGTTTTCAATGTTTTTATTTCTGAAGCTTTAAGTTTAAAAGAATAACTGGTGATCCTGCCATGACGGTCCTTGTTCAGGCACTTCCTGCTATGGATGACAGTCTCCAATTGAGCTCCTGTGTTGTCACCCTGACACATACTCTACTGGTCAAGACTACAAGTAGGCGCGATGACACAAGGCGTGGGCATGGTCCACACTTGTCATTAGCTACAGCATATCTATTCTTACTTGCATATCTGCGTTTGCTGAGATATTTGGTGCACAAAATGTGGATTTATATCCTTTGTGACTATCAAGAATATATATTGTTTCTACATTGTAGAATCCAGCTTTAAATATATCATAGATTGTATATGGTTTGTCAGTCCACCACATGAATTTTGCAGCAAAGCACATTTCTGGCAGAATCAACAGGCATTTTTTCTGTACTTGCAGGGTATAAAACAGGAGGAAATGCATTGCAGAGATATAATGTATATATTTTTTTAAAGATTGCCCTGACATACACTTTAATTGACAAGCTGTCAGTGTATGTACTGAGTGATTATATGCAATGAGTTCACCCTGGGCAACCAGTAAAAGTGAAAAGGATCTTGATGGACACTGCAAAATAAAGCTCAATAAGGTGAAAGAATGATAAAAGCACAAAAATGGTGAACATGGACTTTAAAGCTTTTTTCCTATAATTTATGACACAACACGACAGCAGTGTATAAATAAGGGTCAATAATAGTAATTGCGATCCATCTAAATTTAGCCTGCAATTCTGCTCAAATTCAGAGGGAGAATTATCATCCATTTACGAGAAAATGTCTCCCAGCGATAAGGTGTCATTTTTCTTCATGGGCTTTATTAAAGGTCACTTTTCCCTCAAAGCTCTCTCCAGCCATCTGAGACCCACTGTGTTAAATTGTCATTGATTAAAATAATTAAATACTGAAATAACACACTGGAAATGGCATACATAAGACTTCCCACTAAATTAAAGAGTTGCTGAGAAAGACGGCAACTCCAATCTGTACTGGGAAATAATTTAGCGCTAATAAAAGAAATGTAACAAGAGGGGAAAATGTTCACTTTGCTTTGTGAAGAAGGTCAAAGTGGAAAACATGTAGGCTGTGACGTCTGTGATATCCAAGAAACATGTTCGTTGCCTACATGTGCACAGTTTTCTAATACCTGGTATGAAAAGATCACACCACGCAAAGACTACACATTGCCAATGTGTCCACCAGGAGCTTAGAACTTTACGAACAATGGTGCTCCTTGGCTTTTGGTATTTTAGACAGACCGGGCTAGATACATTCAATGTTATTTCCCAACTAATGAAAATCGGTGTGTTTGTTTTTGGAGTTAAGCTGGCTTAGATTTTCAAAAGAACTTTTGTACGAAAGATCTTTCGTTCAACTTTCTATTCGTTGATGGAGAGGGATCAATTTCGACTGTATTGACGGAAAAACGTGAAGGGGCAGGATGGAAATTTTTTTTTGTTTTCGTTCAGGAAACTCCATTCATTCTAAAATCAAACGTTAAAATCAAACGGAATTTTGATCAACATTCCTCTAGTGTCAGACGGCATTATCGGTGGTCAAGGAAGATCTTTCTTATGAAAGTTCACTTGGAAATTTAATAGTGTATGGCCAGCTCAAGGCTGGGTTCACACCTAGGCGTATTGAATATACGCGTTTGTCGCGCGGTTCGCGTTGTGCGTTTTTACAGCGATTTGCGGTAAAAAAACGTGCGACAAACGCGCGTTTCCGTGGGCTACTTGGCTGTATCCCAATGGATACGGGTGGCAAATACGCCCCAAAGAACCATATATACCCCTATATATGGTTGATAACCCTATAGGTAATAATTGGTTTTCACATGTTGAGCGTTTTATAGAGCGTAGGAACATGCTGTAAAATGCCCAGGTGTGAACCAGGCCTTAGGCCTGGTTCACACCTGGGCATTTTACAGCATGTTCCTACGCTCTATAAAACGCTCAACATGTGAAAACCAATTATTACCTATAGGGTTATCAACCATATATAGGGGTATATATGGTTCTTTGGGGCGTATTTGCCACCCGTATCCATTGGGATACAGCCAGGTAGCCCTCGGAAACGCGCGTTTGTCGCATGGTTTTTTACTGGGAATTGCGGTAAAAATGCACGGCACGAAATGCGCAAGAAACGCGCATATTCGATACGCCTAGGTGTGAACCCAGCCTTGGAGTTTCACCACCAGAAATCTTATCACACATATTTAAACTGTCAAAGACATGGAGGTCATTGCACGGAATACCTGTCACTTTACTGTGATTTGTAATGACTTGTTAGTCATGAGGGCAAAGTTTTACCAATCTACCTCTGCAAGTTTTCCATTTGTCCAGATCCAAAGTGCCTCTTCATCAGTCACAGTCTGGACTTTTTTTTCCACCCCCAGTAAGACACTGCTCTTGGACTATTTAGGTGGACTGTGGTGGCCACAAATGGGCATCAGCCACTTTCCCCTCAAAGCTCTCTCCAGCCATCTGAGATCCACTGCGTTAAATTGTCATTGATTAAAATGTTAAATACTGAAATAACATGGAAATGGCATTCATAAGACTTCCCACTAAATTAAGGAGATGCAACTCCAGTCTGTACTGGGAAATTAATTAGCAATGATAAGAATTAAAGTGATATTAAAGCTTCATGTTTTTTTTTCTTTTATAAATATGAGCCTTATACCTCAAAACAATGTTTAGTGTTTTTTTATTATAGACGTTTAATTCCTCGTTTTCTAGTGGCTCCCCGGTGCACTCTCCCCCCGTCCCCTACACGGGTGCCTCCAACAGCTAAGCTTAGCTATGGAGGCATCTGTGCGTGCCACGCCCCCTTTTTTCCACCAAACAGGTTGATTGATGGCAGGAGTCTATGGCTCTTCTGCCCTCAATCTCCTCCCCCGCAACCAGGAAGTTTGGTTATAGGATCGCTTTGGGGACACGGTG